ATCTATTTTAGGTTATCTTAAGGACACGGTGGCTCAGTGGCTAAGACACTGAGCTTGTCGATCAGAAGGTCGGCAGTAAGGCGGTTCAAATCCCTAGCACTGTGTAATGGAGTGAGCTCCCATTACTTGTCCCAGCTTCTGCCAACCTAGCAGTTTGAAAGCACGTAAAAAATGCAAGTAGAAAAATAGGGACCACCTTTGGTGGGAAGGTAACAGCGTTCCACATGTGCCTTCGGCATTTAGTCATGCTGTCCACATGACCATGGCGACATCTTCAGACAGCGCTGGCTCTTCGGCTTTGAAACCGAGATGAGCAGCACCCCCTAGATTCGGGAACAACTAGCACATCTTTGCGAGCAGAACCTTTACTTTTACTAAATACTATTATTTAATATTTTACAAGTTGCTCATTGTTCCACCATAACTTCAATGTTCAAAATGTGTAGGATTACTAACAATGCCAAGTATTAACAATTTAATCAATCTTATTTTGAGAATGTATCTCAAAATAAGTTAGACTACTAGATGGAAATTTAGGATTAGATAATCTAATGGTATTATTAACATTAATAGTATGTTAGATTTTATTGTGAATTTAAAATATTAAGGAGTGGAATTTGTGCAGATTTTGAGGTATTCTCTCTTGTTGGGCTTTTTAAAATTCGTATATATTAGGTTTTTTTTTTAATTAAGCACTATAAGCTATGCAAAATCACTTTTTGGTGACAGTGAGAGGCCATACAAATTGGATTATACAGCTGATATTTTATTTAAAAAACATTTATATGATCACTTTCCTGGGACATGCAGTTGCATTACTCTGTGTAATCTATTGTTGTAAATTTCTCTGATATAGACTATGACAAATCAGTCCCAAATCAAGATTTAAAGCATATTTAAAGAAATCTACACATTTTCTGAAAAGGAAATTCTAGCATTCTAAATTGGTTAACCAAGACCTTTTTTAAGAAAAAAACCTGCAACGCACATGTATGCTACATAGTGTAATACATGTGTATCACATATATGCATACACAATATCCTCATCCTTTTGTTCTACACAATTGTTGTAATTTGAAGGAGTGATGGCTGACTTGAATAGATTTCAGTTGCACACTTCTGGGCAGATGCAAAGAGAGACAAGTGTCACAACTTAACATATAAAGCTAATCTGTGTATATTTTGTATTGTGAGAGGGCACAATAACAAATGAAGGCATTTGCTAGGTTTTGTTTTGTTTCATGGTAACTAATTCCTGGAAACCATAATGCTTTCTTAAGAAAAAAGAATGTGAGCAGTGTATTCTGCACTCTTTCTCTGCCTGGGACTGCATAAACATTTGCATGTGGAAGTATTAAACATCTAATGCTGTTGTTCATCTCCATTCTTTTCCTAAGTTGATGTGGAATTGCAGGTTGATCCCAGTGGAACCAACTTCTGCATATTCCATTCACTGCATATTCCATTCAGGTCATCCAAAATGAGAGCATATAGTTGAATAGTTAGGCAGCAGTGGCAGGTGCTCCTTCAAGAGAGTTATCGCCCAAAACGGGGGAGGGAAAGTATCTCTCAAGACAATGGAGTCTTCAGGGGAGGGAGCAGGTGATTTATTTGTCAGGCAAGAATAATAAATGTTTGCCCAATTTCATTTGCCAGTTGCAGAAAAAAACTAAGGAATTAAATCACTAATTCATTAAAACTAAGGAATTTTTAAAAAATCAAATGTACAAGTACACATTAGGTGAAACTGGATTACTAGGATCTATCTCCAGTCCCTCATTGGAGATCCAGAATCCCAGGTAGTCTAAGCGGATCTTGTGGAATTCACACTTAGACAGCTTTGTGTAGAGTTGGGCTTCCTGGAGTTTCCTGAGTAGGCCTCTGACCAGCTTTATGTGTTCTTCAGAGGTCTCAGTGTATACTAATATATCACCAAGACCCCTTGTACACCAAGACTCCCTTGTACAGGTGCTTGTGCAGGTCCTCATTTATCAAAGGTCAAGCTGAGGTGGCATAGTGGTTAGAGTGCAGTACTGCAAGCTAGTTCAACTGACTTCTAACTGCAGTTTGGCAGTTCAAATCTCACCGGCTTAAGGTTGACTCATCCTTCCATCCTTCTGAGGTGGTTAAATGAGGACCCAGATTGTTGGGGGCAATATGCTGACTCTGTAAACTGCTTAGAGAGGGCTGTAAAGCAATTTGAAGCAGTATATAAAGCTAAGTGCTATTGCTATTGCTATCCGTTGCATAAATATGGCAGAGGGTTCTTGCAACCTGAATGACATTACTTGGAATTGAGAGCAGCCTAGGGGACAATTAAATGCTGTTTTCCACTCATCCTTAATCCTCACTTGGTAATATACCTCCCTCAAGCTTTGTGAAGATTTTTCCCTTTGCCAAATAACCTAGCATGTCCTTCATAACATATATAGTTGATGTACAGTCTAAGGCATGGGTCCTCAAACTATGGTCTGCAGGCTGAATGCGGCCTGTTGAAGCCTTTAATCTGGCCCGTGCAGGACCATGAGGCTGACCCCCCCCCACATCGCCCCCCCCCCTTTACCCGAGGCCAGGACTTACCTTCATGAGCACCTCAGACTAGAACTAAAAGGTAAGGCCAACAATTTTGGCCTGCACAATGCTTCTGGGTGTGTGTGTGTGTGTGTGAAAAAAGGGCACATAGACACCCCAAGAGGCCAAAAAACTGGTAAAAAATCACTTCCTCCACCTCCAGAAGATAAAGAGAGATTGATAAATTGGGGGGGGGGGAGAGACAGAAAGAGAGAGAAAGAGATAGAAAGAGAGAGGAGGGCAGAAACAGAGACAGATTTCTCAAGTTCCTTGGGGCTGAGAAGAATAGCTGGAAAACTGAGCTTCCTGAAATGGACCACTAGACTCCTAAACAACTGAAAAAATAATCTAGTAAAAAGAAAAGGCAATCAAAAGAGCAACATGCAAACAAAAGTGAATAAAAATCCCCAGGAGCAAAACAAATTAAAGTTTAATTTGTGTGCATTGTTCAGTGGACTGTTAAATCGGCCATGCTCCCTAATTCCAAGACCTAGCCATGCCAACCCAGTCACATGACCATCTAATCATGCCACCCAGCCAGTCTGGCCCCTCAACAGTCTGAGGGACCATGAATTGCCCCCCTGTTTAAAAAGTTTGAAGATCCTGGTCTAAGGGAACCGTCCTTTTCTTTGAAAAGCAGCGGGGCCGCCATTCTCAATTTCGCTGGCTGAATGAACCCCGACACAAGGTTCTTGTTTATAAACACTCAGAGCTCATACATCTCTCTAGGGAGGTCATGGAGTATATTTTTGGCTTAGGCAGGTTAGCTCCTGACATGATATCTATCATATAATCGGTGGGTCGGTGAGATGGAAGCGCATCTGATTCCTTTTTGCTAAAAACCTCAGCTAGGTCACGATACTCTGCTGGAATTAGCGGCTCTAACCTACTGTAGTTGTGGTTTCCGCTTTCATTTTTCTAGCCAAAGGCGTGTAGGTGGCTATTCTTCACATCCGCCACTTTTCTGTATCCCAGCTCACAGGGCAGTTGCACTTTTTCCACCACTATGGGCTCAATCATTGTGGGGACACAGTAAACCTAACAGCTTCTACATGAGTTCCTGCTTTGAGCCGAACTGGCTCGATCAGACCTTGCACA